ATGCTGCCGTCTGGTTTTGGGTGTGTTCACCTACTAAACCGCCACAACCAGCCCCCTTCCAGTATGTGTGGGTTTACAGACACAGACGACTAGGAAATCGAACTTTTCTTCCCAGGCGTGTTGTGGTTTTCGTCTGAGTCTCGTTGCTCTCGGAGGAAGGAGGTTCTATATTCTCGTCGATGGTGTTGTTGTCGTCGGTAAATGCTGCTTTCAACCTGTCAATCGATATTTTTTTGGCTTTGTCTCGGATGTCCAGCGTATAATACTTCGGGTGACGTTCTATGACTGCGAATGGTCCGTCGTACGGCTGTTGTAGTGGTGGCCCGACTGCGTCGTTTCTTACAAACACCTGCGTGCATCGATGGAGTTCTTTTTGTATGAAAGGTTGTGCTTTTGCGTGATGCGCTGTCTGCGTCGGCCGGATCAAATTCATTGCACGTCTGAAGTCTTCAATGAATTCCACTTCGTTGGGATGTGGCTTCGATTCGGTGAAAAATTCTGCTGGTAGTCGTAAGCTCTTCCCGTAAACTAGTTCCGCCGGTGTTGCCTGTATATCTTCTTTGAACGTTGCGCGTAGTCCGAGCATGATTAGAGGTAACTCGAATGCCCAGTTTTGTCGATCTTTGCATTTTACTGCCGCTTTCAGTGTACGGTGGAACCGCTCGACTAAGCCGTTGGATTGGGCGTGATATGCCGTTGTTCGAAGGTGACGTATGCCTAGTCTCTCATTAAGCTGTTTAAAGATCTGGCATTCGAACTGCCGGCCTTGGTCTGTCGTGATTTTAGAGGGTATACCAAACCGCGCGATCCATGTTTCGATGAGTGTGGTGGCGATAGTTCCGGCCGTTATGTCCTTGATCGGCGCCGCTCCTGGCCACCGGGTGAATCTATCGACCATTGTGAGTAGATATCGGTAACCGTTTGAAGGCGGTAACGGACCAACAATGTCAATGTTGATATGGTCGAAACGTGACTCAGTGGTATCGTATCGTTCGGGCGCAGTTCTATTGTGTCGCTGGATTTTTGATTTTTGACAGGGTATGCACTGTTTTGCCCAGGTTACGATGTCCTGGTGGATATTAGGCCACACGAACCTCTCTTTAATGAGACGGGTAGTGGCTCGAATACCGGGATGCGAGATGTTGTGTACAGCGTTAAAAACTGTTTTACGACATGACTTTGGAATAAAAGGTTTGCACTTGCTGTTTGTAGCCTGGCAATAAACCTTTTGTGTTGAATTGACCACTGGCATTTTAGTCAACGAAATACTGAACCGCCCATCTCCCTGAAGGATGGATTTGAGCTCGCTGTCTGTTTCCTGTTCTGCAGCAATGATGTCGTAGTCGATAGATTCGCGCTGCACTGCATTGACGCGTGAAAGAAAATCAGGGACTACGTTTTCTTTACCCTTAACGTAACGTATGTCGGTCGTAAACTGGCTGATGTAATGTAAGTAACGGAGGTGTCGTGGGTCAGCCTTTTCGGGTTTCTGCTTGAAAGCGAACGTGATTGGCTTGTGGTCAGTGTAAATCGCGCAGCATCTACCTTCGAGTTGGTCGACGAAGTATTTAACACTTTTGTATATGGCGAAAAGCTCTCTTGAGTACGTACTCCAGTTACGCTCAGATTTTGTCAGCTTACGCGAAAAAAATCCGAGGGGTTGCGCCTCGTCGTTTTTTATCTGGTGCAATACCCCTCCGATACAATTGTCTGATGCGTCGACCGAAAGCGTGAGTGGCGCGTTCGCTTGTGGGTATGCAAGTAGAGTTGCATTGGCTAACTTTGACTTAAAGTCATTGAATGCCTTTCGGGATTCTTCGGTCCACTGAATTTTGCGTGTGTCGTTTTTGACATTGCCTGGTATTAGCGCTTGAAGAATATTCTGGGTGTGTGCGGCTCCCGGAATAAACCTTCGATAAAAATTTATGATTGCGATGAAACGTCGTAAGTCCTTTGCGATGGTGGGTTCCTTGTAGGCATTTATCGCTTCCACTTTTTCTGGAAGGGGCAAAATTCCATTAGGCGTGACTAAGTGACCGAGGTACCTTACATTTTGTTGACCGAAAACACACTTGTTGGCATTAATTGTTAAGCCGTTTTGCTTTAGACGTTCGAGTACAATTCGAAGATGATGATTGTGTTCGGTTTCGGTGCGGGACGCGACGCAGATGTCATCTAGGTATGGGACGACAAAGTCTAGTCCTCGGAACACGCTGTCGATGTGTCGTTGGAAGGTTTGGCCCGCGTTGCATAACCCAAATGTCATGAATCGAAATTCGAATAGGCCGAACGGCGTCGTTATGGCCGTCTTTTCGATGTCATCGGGGTGCATTGGTACCTGGTGATACGCTCTTTCCAGGTCGATGGTCGAAAATATATTTTTGTTCGCAAATACTTGATGAAATGTCTGGATATTTGGGATGGGGTACCTGTCCTTCTCAGTGATAGCGTTAAGCGCCCTGTAATCCCCGCACGGTCTCCAGGTGTTGTCCTTTTTTGGGGCCATGTGGAGTGGCGAGGCCCATTGACTTTTGGACGGCTGGCAAATACCTCTTGCGATCAGGTATTCGAACTCTGCTTTGGCGATCTTTAGCTTTTCCGGCGTGAGGCGACGTGGCTTGGCGTGCACTGGCGGGCCCTTTGTGATGATGTGGTGGAACGTTGTTGTGCTCGGTATAGGTTTATTTCGTGAGGGCGAGAAAAGCACTTTAAACTCTGAGAGTAACTTTGCGTATTTGTTTGTATCGGTAACAAGTTTAATGCCAGTGGTAGTTGTTGCTCGCGTTATACCGTATGTATACAACTTCGTTGTTTTATCGATTAACGACTTGTTTTTTAAGTCTACTAGCAGCTCGTAGTGGGTTAAAAAATCCGCCCCGATAATCGGCGTTTTCACGTCAGCCACGCAAAATGTCCATTCAAACGGGCGGCGGAGACCAAAATTAATTTTCACTCTTTTCTGCCCAAATGTTCGTATTGGGGTTCCGTTCGCTGCGTAGATTGACTGGGTTACCGGCGATTGACATTTTCTGTTGTTTGCGGTTGCTGGAATCACCGAGATGTCCGCTCCGGTGTCGACGAGGAAGTGTTGGTTATCGTAACGATTTTTGATAAAGAGGCGGAGGCTGTTGTTACCATGGCCGAGCTGGCAAGCGCCTCCCGTGGCTTGGGCTCGGAGTTCTAGTTTTTTGGATTCTGTTGTGTACCACTAGCGTTGCGGTCGAACTTGCATGGTGGCCTGCACTTGCGAGCATTCGTCCCATATTTGTAATGATACCAGCAGGTGTCGTGCTGTTCTCGACTTCGTGAACTCGATCGTGTCGGCGTTGATCTACGTTGGCTACCACGGTATGGCCGTTTGATGTTCCGCAGGTCGCGTGAGATTGCCTCAATCTGGCGTTGCATTTCCTCGATTTGGCTTGCAGGTTCATTACTGGCGTTTTGGCGTACACTTGTTGTCTGCAGAGGGCTTTGCTGAACGGCGTGTATAAAAGCGCCGCTACTTCTAGTAGCCTCCATGATACGGTCGGCCATCGTTGCTGCGTTTACCAAAGTTATGTGCTCGTCTGCGGATAGTATTGCGCGTATCTGTTCTGGGAGATTTCGGAGCCATAACTGCTTTAGGAGCTCGTCTGTTACTGGGGTAGCTGCCGCCCTGGTCCGCATTTCGGCTAACAACTGCGACGGCTTGCGGTCGCCGAGTGATAGGTCGCTGAGCAGCTTTGTCAATTTTGTTTGTGTGCTGTCGGCGAATTCATTGATAATTCGGGCCTTAAGATTGTCGTACATTTCGTTTCGTGCCGGTGGATTTGTGCGGAAGTCGGCTAGCTTGTACATAACGCGCGTGGGCAGTTGTCCGATTATGGTGTAATACCGTTTTTTATCGGATACGATGCCTGCCGCTTCGAAGGCCGCCTCGACTTGCCAGAACCATAGGTCCGTATGCTCCTCGACCAAATCTGGGAGCTTAACCTTCCCTGGGTCGAGCGTGTCCACCCGCATTTGTGCCGGGTTAGCTGTAGGGTCAGACATTTCATTGCCAGATGAAAAAGTCGTGGGGTCGTCTTTGTTCATATTTTTATTTCCGCGTAAATCGTATCACGTCGGGGTCACCAGTATGGCATTTATTGTGCGATGCCTAATAATAACTTTTATTTTATCGG